TCTGCTCATATTTCAGCACTTATTGCAATTCATATGACTTCACTTGGGTTTGATAGAGTTGGGAATTATCAAATAGGATGAGAGACCAGAAATTGGTAATTAGGCTACAAAATTATTAGGTATATAATTTGCCTTCTAAGTTACCACAGGTGACAGTTTTACTAAGCAATTTGCCACTGCATAACATGGTTAGCATTCTTCTAGGCTCCGTTATCAATTTCCTTGAAAACTATTGCCTAGCCCATAAACCAAAGCCACATATTTTAGGTTGTTTGTTACAATAGCACTCCAATCCTGATTTCAATATCTATTTCAATCAGATAGATCTAATTATACTGCAGTAATAAACAACCCAAGAATTTCAATGGCTTAAAACAACGAATGTTGTGGGGGGTTTTTCTCATGTTTTGTGGCCATCACAAGTAGAATGCTGGCACTCTGAGCTGCAGGCTACAGAAGAGTCACTCTCTAAAACATTACCAATAACCACAGCAAAAGGAAAGAAGAGCATGGTGAAGCATGTACTGACTCTAAAACTTCTAAGGATGACACATCTTGCTTCTGCTCACACACACTTGAGTTCAACATAGTAGGTATGTAAAATCCTAAGGCAAGAAGCAGAGCTAGATATTGGTGGAAGATGTTAGAATCTATCATTAAAATATGTGAGGTAGAAAGGATATGCTTATTATTACTAAAAGAGAGAAAACCCAAGCTTGAAAAATTTATTAGCAAATGGGAAAATATGAAAAGTCACACAGGAAATACAAATAGAAGTAGATATGCAGGATTCCAAGGATTAAAAGTGCAAATGAAATTAAGAATTAGAGGGATGGGTCTACGAGCACATCAAGCCAGGTTTAAGACAGAATATATGTGAACTGAAAAAAAATCTATGCAACATGCTATGTAGAAAGACAAAGCTATGGCTAAGAATTATAGAGGATGTTGTGAAGTCTCCATTCACAAAACTATATCAAAGGAAGCAGTAAATAGTATTCGCCAGGAAGAAATAAAATTATTCCATAATGGAAGATTGGAGATGCAGGAAGAAATGAAGAGCAAATGAAGTAAAAAGTAAAAAAGTTAATCTAAAAAAATGTTGACTGTGAAACAGTAACAATAATGTCTTGTGGGTTTTATTTTCTATAAAAAGAGAAATAAAATACATAGTAGCCACAGTATTTGAGCGAGTAAGAGATAAATGGAGACATCTTTTTAGATCCTTACATTTCCTGGGAGGAGAGGAAACATCTCAATTAACATTAGACTTTGAAAAGTTAAGAATGCATGTTCCAGAGTAACAAATAATAAAAATAGTATATAACTTCCAAAATAATGGGAAAGTATGACCATAAAAATTATCAATCCAAAAGAAGGTAAGAAAGAAGAAAATGAACAAAAAAAGAAAAGAAAATAGGTTCAAAGAATAGAATACAAATCAAGATAGAGATTTTTTAACCCAAATATATTGCTTATTATATAAGTTGGGGCAAAAGTGGATTTACAGTTGTTCTCATGGAAGATAATAAAATAATTAATAAATAATAATACAAGAATAAGCTCTGTGTTTCACATACTCACAACTATAAACTTACTTTTGCCCCTCCCTGTGTTAAGTGTAAGTGTATAAAAATTCAGATAAGAACAAATACTTTCAGATCCGGTAAAAAACAATAACAATTACATGTTGTTTATGAGACACACTTACAACATAAGGAATCATGAGTAAAGTTTTATTTCATGATAATAAACAATACAGTTTATCAAAAACATAGAGCAAATTTTACATTTGTGTATACATACTAATGTGGTTCCAAAAAGTATTAAAAATATACAGATATTCAAGTAAAAGTAGAGAAATGGGCAATTATAATGAAAGATGTCAATATTCTCAATAAAACAAGCAGACAAAAAGATCAATAAGCATAGAAAATATTTAAACAGCATAATTAACATTAACTAATAGATATATAACTATATAACCCTGAATCCAGAAATGGAAAATACATCTTCTTTTCAAGCAAGTAGGAAACATTTATAAAATTTGGCTTCATGTTGGGGCACAAAGAAAGCCTTAGTATATTTCAAATATACAAAATACTACAAAGTATGTTCTCTAATCACACTGTAGTCAATCTAGTCATCAATTAAAAAACATGAGTATTATCTCCATATATTAGAATTAATAAATACACATTTAAATGACCCATAATAAAAGAAGAAATCACAGTGGAAATAAAATATATTCAACAAATGATAATAAAACAAACTATACATTAAAATATATGGGCTAGAGCTAAAGCAGTAGCTACAGGGAAATTTTCAATCAAAATGTTTATATTGGAAACGAAGGGAGCCTAAAATTTTAATGAGCTGAGTCAATCACCAAAAAAATGAGTAAAAGAATAGCAAATTGCCCAAATAATTTGGGAGGGAAGAAAAGAGAATAATTCAATAAAACTGAATAGACAAATAAACTAAAGAAGATCGACAAGCTTTGAAAAACTAACAGAACAAACTAACTCTACCTCCCCACAAAAATAAATAAGTAAATGGAGGAAGCTCACACTCACACACACACACACATTTACGCTCGCACACAGTAGTAGGAATGAAGAAGGGGCTATCGTCACAGATCCTGCAGATATTAAGCAGATAAAAAGAAAAAATGATTATCCACCTTGTATGAATAAGTCTTTGAAGCCATTTGCTTGCTTGCCATAGCTTTGTGGGTTGTTACTGAATGCACACTCCTGTACCCACTCCCAGGCCAAGGAAAGGACCCTATCGCCTCCCCCCCCAAAAGGCCCCAGCGTGTCCACTGCCAAGCACAGCTCTGTCTCTCCAAGGAGCCACGCCCCGGGCTTACAGCCCTCACTGCCTTGCAGGGGGTCTCAGGAAAGGAGCCTGAGGAAGACCTTCCAGTAAGGGAGGGGGAAGTGATGGAGCGGAAGGGACAGCGGCAGGACCGGTAGAGTGACCCAAGGCCCGTCAGACGGAGGCTGCCAGAGGTCGCTAATGCTTGCGCGGGAGCGGTCCACCTGAAGGAGAAACAGGGAGAGCTAGAGGTGCGGGACCCTCAGAGAGCCCGAGGAGGCCGAAGGGGGGGCGTGCAGAGCTCAGATGAAGGACACGGAGGGTCTGAAAGGCAGAACATTGAACCAAAGAGGATTCTGCTTGAGCTTTAAGATCTGATGATGTTTACTTCCTTGGGACCCGTCACCTTTTCCTGCTTTCTTATTTCTCCCTGATGGATTGGAATATCTATCCCATGTCTGCCCTACCATTGTATTTTGGAGGTATTTGACTTATCTGGTTTTACATGTTCACAACTGGAGATGAATTTTGCTTCAGGATGAATCATACCTTAAGTCTTATCCTTTCTCATTCAGATAATTTTTAGACTTTGGACTTTAAGCTTTAGGGTTGATGCTGAAAACAGTTAAGACTTTGGGGGCTATTGGGAAAATTAATGTATTTTCCTGGGAGGATATGATTTGGGGGACCCAGGAACAAAATGTATGGGCTGGGGTGGGAGGGGTCACTGGGGAGAAAAGGGGAAAACTGTAATATTTTGAATAAAAAAAATAATAATAAATTTTTACAAATGTATGGGCTAAATGTTTGAATCACCCCCCAATTCATGTTGAAGTCCTAATGCCCCATCTGATGGTATCTGGAGGTGCAGCCTTTGGGAGGTAATTAGGTTTAGGTGAGGCTTGGAAGGTGGAGGCCCATGATGGGATTAGTGTTCTTATAAGAGGAGGCGACTGGAGCTCATTCCCTCTTCTATGTGAGGACACAGTGAGAAGGCAGCTGTCCACAGTCAGGAACAGAATCTTCCAGAACCTTGATCTTGGACTTTCCTGTGTCCAGAACTGTAAGAAATAAATGTTTGTTATTTATGCCACGCAGTGTATGATGTCTTGTTGTAACATCCTGCACGGACTATGACAGGAGAGGTGGCCAGTCACAGAGCAGGAATTCCAGAGGGCAGTGACATGAACAGAGGAGAAGGGTGCAGATGGGGACTGATTAGTGGTCCACAGAGAAGAACATAAAGGAGATTTCAGGAGGTAGAAAATGTTTGCAACGGTTTGGATTTTTGGGAGTAACTGAAGCAAACAGGGAACCAAGACGTATAAGTTTAGAAACAAATGGGTTTGGGGTTCTAGCATTGCATTAGGGCCCCAGATATTTCAATTGTTGATATTGCAATTGGCCACCAAGGTCATAAGCAGTTTTACTGGCAGGAAAGCTCATTCTTGTAAGCTTTGGTCAGTGGTCCAGCATCAGATGAAGGACACTATTCTCAGAATGCAAAGATTTGACAAGTTGATAGCTTTTTTAAGATGGAAGAAACTGTAATGTGTTTAAAAACTGATGAAACAGAGATCAAGACAAAGCAAGGGGCTGAAGACCCAGAAGAGAGAGGGTTATCAATGAAGAGAAGTCTCGGAAGCCACTGGATCCTGAGAGTGGGTGTTGGGACTGGTACCTTTCATTCTGACAGGAAGGAGTTATTTTGCAGAAATGCCACGAGGACCTGTTGAGAATGGCATGTAATTTACCATGCATACTAATTACTCACAATGAATTAATAATGACACACTCAAGTAACAAGCCTGTATCCTTTGTGTATTACTTGTTCCCAGTTTGACCTGTCCTGGGATGTCTGCTTCTTTCTTTTTATGAACATTACTATTTGTTCTTACCTGTGAGCAGAGCTGTGCAAGGTTGCATGTCTTTCATGGACATAAACACTCAAGGTGAAAAATAAGGCTCAACATTTTTTTGGCTGAAAGAGGAAAAAGATGGATAGAACTGTCTCTACCAGATCCCCCCCACCACATGTCTCCACTCAAGGAACTGCATTACCAATGAGTAGAGTTGAACCTAGATCACTAATATGCGTGGGCCAAGAGTCTGTGGGCTATGTTTGCACACCTGAGGCAGGTAATTCAAGTGCCTGTGTGTCATGTATGTATGGATAATGAATGACGGTGACTCAGCTCATGGGAAAGAAATGTCTGAGCGGAGGAGCAAAACCAGACAGCAGCCAGGATCACATCAGACTTCTAGGTAAGCAGGTTGTTCAGGGAGGAGATGGCGAGGTTGGGAAGCTCAAGCCCAGTTTTGGAAACAAAGGAGACAGCATTGGGCAGCTGGGCAGCCTGTGTTTCAACAGTGACACCAAGTGGCAGCAACAGCTACAGGGCCAGCGGAAGACCATTAGACTCCAGGTTTTCTCTCTGACACTATTTAGTATTGACTAAGACAACTGACACTTCAACTGAGAAAGCCCCTCATATTCTCACGCCTATCACATGTGTGTGTTCCCATGCAAGCGCTGGGCAGGGGAGCTGATAGGAGTAAAATGCCAGGGGCAAGGAAGGAATAAATTTATTCCTCATTTAATTTGAGGAATAAAAGAGACATAATTGGTTTTAACACTGGTGAAACAGGTTACTGTGGCTGTAAGAGAGGTCTTATTTTGTAATATCCATGAGACTCAGGAGCCCCTCTGGAGTTACACAGTAAAATCACATTAAGTCAGAACAAGTACAGACACCATAGAGAAAAAAGTGTGGATTTTGGTGAGGCCAACTTGGGTTCAAATCACAGTTCTTCCTTTGATTAGCGGTGTGACCTTGGACATGATTCTTAGACCATCTGCACTTCAGTTTCCATATCTACCCGATGCAGGTGAGGCACAGGGTCAGTGTGATGGCTTATTCCCCATACTGTAAATTTCACGTCCTTTCTCTCCTTCTCAGGACATCTTGATTCGATGCTTTGGTTGCCAGCATAAGAATAAAAACCCAAGATTAAAATTGGCCACAGCTCTGAATTATCTGTAACAATGACAAGTTTGGATTAAACCGGGTGAGAGGAAAATGATTAAGTAAATACAAATTCATATTAGGAAATATTAGGCAGTCATTAAAAATGAAGCCTTCAGTGAATTTCAGTGACATTAGAGATCGATGACAGAATAACATCAAGTGAAAAAGAGAGTACATAAAGCCTCATGTTATATGTAATTTAACCAGGATTATATTTTATATATTGTATTCACATATGCACATATGCATCAACACAGAATGCATGTAGGCATTGAAAAGATGCAAAAATCTTAAAAATACATCCTGCATGTTTTTTTTAAGTTGTTTTTTAGGGGGTATATTTGATTTTATCTTCATTAAATATGAAATTGCCTGGCCGGGCGTGGCTCAGCCGTTGAGCATCGACCTAGGATCCAGGCGATGAGGGTTCGATTCCCGGTCAGGGCACATGCCCGGGTTGCGGGCTCGATCCCCAGTCGGGGGCTTGCAGGAGGCAGCTGATCAATGACTCTCATCATTGATGTTCCTATCTCTCTCTCTCCTTTCCTCTTTCTGAAATCAATAAAGATACATTTTTTTAAAAACCAGTAAAAAATAACCATGAAATTAAGTAATGGCACTACTCTATGGCTTTCTCAGTGTAAGTTCAGTCACCACCCTATGAGGTTAGGACTTCATCTTCTCTTTCGTATGCCCTTATTTTAGATAAATGTATGGAGGAGGAGAGTGAACCTATGAAACAAAGAAGGAAGGCAGGAGGCGGAGGCGGCAGGCCTTTCAGTCCTCCTGGCCACATTTTGGCTTTTCTTGGCTTATTTTGGGGTGGCATATTCTGCTCCCCTTCAATGTAAAAAATACTCTCCTACAACTGTACGTTTTTGCTTGGATAAGCCTGAACAGCTGCTGGAGAAAAAAAAAAGAAAAGAAAAAATATTCTGAGAAACCATAATCTTTTATAAAGATATGGTAATAAATGCTTTCAATGTAAACAATTTATGCTAAATATAAAGAGACACTGTATTAATACTGACATATCCATAATAATAGGAAAGACTATAAGTGAAATAAAGCATTTACTATACCATAAAATATTTCAAGGTCAAAATAGGAGTCTGCAAGCTATGGTCCAAGAACCAAATTTGGCGACAGTCTGTTTTGTAGAGCCTGCAAGCTAAGAATTATCTTCTACATTTTTAACAGGTTTTAAGAAAAGGAGAAGAAGACTATGAGACCATGTGAATCCCTCAAAGCCTAAAATATTCACTACATGACCCTCTAAACAAAAAGTTTGCTGACCACTCATGTAAAGGGAATGTTACTGAGCAGCAATTATCTACTAATGCAAATGTTACATATTTCAGAAACGTGGCGTGAAAGCTTAAATTCAGCTTGTTCAGAGTGGTTGCACTGGTAATGATCTTGCATCTGGATGCTTAAATTTTTATTTCATGCTGTGAAAATCAAATAGTGAAACTATTATATTAGTTCTTAAGGGATAAGACATGATTTCTGAGAGAGACATATGTACTCTAATTAAAAGAAATGTTAGCTCAAGTCAGGAAAATATCTACAGTAATATCTAAAATTAAGGTAACATATTATGCTCTGGTGGATTGTCTGAACAGTTTGGTGGGTTAATACTCAGATATTTGGAACTTAACTATCTCCCAAAATATGTTGATATATGGCAACAACTTGCACAGCTCGGCTTGCATGCTGACATCAGCAAGCCTGTGTCCCGCAAGCTGCTCAGACGTTGCTGTCTCCCCAAACAGCTCTTCTCACCACCTCACTTGACCTCTCTGCAGTAGTCCACAGTGCTGATCCCTTCCTCCTTCCCAAAATACTCTCTTGCCCTGTCATCACGACTCCACACAACCCTAGCTCTCCTGCTACTTGTCAGTCTCCTCAGACCCTCTAGCCATGTTCCGTTCCTGTCCTTAGCCTGCAGGCATTGGACTCCGTCCTCTGCTCTCTGCCTGCTCTTCTTCCTTGGCCTGGTGAACCTTACCCAGCATGTGCGGATGCCTCCCAGCTCTGTCCTGGTCCAATCCACTCTGCAGCTTGTGAATCTACTAACTCTGCTAACTCTCATATCTAGGTCAAATATGAGTCCGTTTGGTGTTTATTTTTCTTTTTCTTAACAAGAAAAACAATCTTTTGCTTTTGTTTAATCTCATATAATCCTGTCTTTCTTCATACCTAGTATTTTTTTTATTATATGTCCAACATTGTGTATAAATAAGTTCAGCGTCTCCGGATGGTGTTATATTCTACCAGAGAAGGTCTTCCTTTCCTATGTTAGGTATATGATAGGGTAAAACATTTATCACCTCCGTCCCATCAAGAACTGGGGTGGATTGGAGCTGAATTGCAGTTTTGGTAAGAATCAACCTAGATTTGGCTTCACCCCAATTTTAGATTGTGGTCCTCCTGACTATGTTGAGAGCCAGTTCTGCACTTTGGAAGTTTTTAGCTCAGCTCTGTAGTCTCCCATTCCACAGACTTCAAAAGCTGGTAAATACATTTAATAGGATAGCAGCTCTCTGTTGCCTCTAAAAAGCCTCTCACATGGCCCAGACTCAAGAAATGTCCTATAATGCATATGTTTGAGGCTCCCTACCATGTTTCTAATTTGTCAGTCCCAGCTGGTATTACTCCTAAAAGCTTTACTGAGTTCCTTCTCCCAGCAGAGGTCTCTACCTGTACCAAACCCAATCCTCAGCCCATACCCCGAAGCAACAAATATCTCCAGAGAGAAAAAATCTCTGGCATGTATTGGCTAAACTTGCAATGGTTCTCCATGTCTGATGCATTTAACAAGTCATACTCTTGAAAACTTGGTTAAAAAACTAGTTGGCATTAAAAACAACCTGTCATTTCATGTTATTTTAGGAAAACCATATTCCATATTTTGTGGAAAAATATAAAAATCATAGAAATATACATAAATAAATCAACAAACAACATGTTAGTGGGGATGTGCACTGTTGGTGAAGATGCAGATTGGTGCAGCCACTCTGGAAAACAATATGGAGGGTCTTCAAAAAATTAAAAATAGAATTGCCTTATGACCCAGCAATTCCATTTCTGGCTATATATTTGAAGAAACCCCAAATGCTAATTCGAAATGATATATGTGCCCCTATGTTCATTGCAGCATTTACAATAATAGCCAACCTATGGAAACAGCCCAAGTGCCAGTAGACGAGTGGATAAAAAGGTTGTGGTACATAGATACAATGGAATATTACTCAGTCATAAAAAGAAAGAAATCTTAGCATTTGCAACACCATGGATGGACTCAAGAGTATTATGCCAAGTGAAATAAGACAGACAAGTACAATATGATTTCAATTCTATGTGGAATCTAAGAAACAAAATAAATGAACAAACAAAATTGAAACAGACTCATAGATGCAGACAACAGACTGATGGTTGCCAGAGAGGAGTGGGGAGAGGGTGTTGGGTGACAAAGATGAAGGGATTAAGAGGTACAAAATGGCAGTTACAAAATAGTCATAGGGATGTAAAGCAAAGCATAGGGAATATAATTAATAATATTGTAATAGCTGTGTATGGTGCCAGGTCGGCACTTGAAATATTGGGGGGAACCACTTTGTAAAATAAGTGATTGTCTAATCACTATGCTATACATCTGAAACTAATACAAATTAAGAGTGAATATAAACTTTAATTGAAAGATAAAATTTTAAAATATAATAGAGATATATACATTTCTATGCATCAACTCAAGATTAAACATGGGAAAGAAATATCAGGAAAGATTAGAATTATTGTTTATCTTTTTATAGTAAAAGACAAATGTTTTGAGTAATACAGTCTGCCTTCACTATCATTCCATAAAATATTATTTAAAAATAAGAATTTCAAGCCTTGACCAGTGTGGCTTAGTGGGTTGGGCATCGCCGAGTGCACCAAAAGGTTGCCAGTCCAATTATTGATCAGGGCACATGCTCGGGTTGCTGGCTCAATATGGGGGCATGCAGGAGGTGGCCAATGGATGTTCACATAGATGGTTCTCTCTCTCTCTTTCTCTCTCTCTCTCATCCCCTCTCTCTAAAAGTCAATTTAAAATATTTTTTAAATAAATAAATAATTTCAAGGCAAGTAAAGAAAAAGCCACATGTGTCTAAGTGTCCACTTGAGATGTGATCAATGCAAACTGAGATGTGCTGTAAGTGTGACATACCCACTAGGCTTCAAAAATGCTGCCTGAAAAGAGAATATAAAATATCTCAGTAATCATATTTTATATTGATTATAAGTTGAAAAATATCTTTTAATATATGGGGTTAAATAAAATAGGTTAAAATTATTTTCACCTATTCATTTCATTCCTGTTAATGTGGCTGCTAGATCATTTAAAGTAATTT